TCTACTACCTTGAAAATTTGTTTAGGAGCAATGTTTTATAAAGGGTTTAATTGGGTTCAGAAGGAAGGCGGGGGGAGTGCAGGTGGACAGGGTTCAGAAGGAATTCAAACCCTCATTAATTGGGTTTCCAATGTAAAAATTTGGGGCCAAAAAAAGAATTAGCATTATAGAGGTACCATTTTTCAAACACGGGGGTCTGAATAATTTTGGAAAAATTTAGCATTATAGAAGTCCCCTTTACTAATCGTGATCCAACATTACTTAGCCTGCATCCACTTTGGCGATCCGCAGAAACCACACCCCCAAAGTATGGCTCCTGCAGGGTTTGGCGGGGGCTCGAATTTTGAGGGTTTGAAACATGTCTTGGGGAGTTCGTTGGAAGTTTCGGATTGTTATTTGTTGTTTTATTTTGTTGATGTGATGGCACTTGTCCTTGGAGCTGTTTTCTTTTTTTTAATATCGTTGTGGCGAAGACTAAGGGGCTCAGAACTGACGCTCCTTTTCGTTCCCGCTGGTCGGACTGCTGTGCCAAAGTGTCAGGAGGAGTCTTGGCATCCTGTGGATGTTGGTGAGATCGTAGGCTACAACCTTGTGCTGCCCGGACTTCAGCAGAGGGTTAGTGGAGCTTCTTTGGAAGAAGCAGCGGCCAGGCTTCCTACACCTGGGACATCTGGGGCCTGTTCACCAGCGTGAAGCACCAGAGAACTAAACAAAAGAATTGCTGTTCAAGTTTTGCATTGTTATGTTTGGAATGCTGTCCAGGTGGGTTCGGAACATGTGGTTTTCCATGGTCTTTCTTTTTCCTGAATGACTGTGCGGGTGAAAGAGGTCCGCTCTATTAAATTCTATCGGGCACCCTCACAGGTGGTCGCTGTGCTGGGGCAGGGGAAGAGACCCCGCTGCCGCAGAACCACCAACTAGAGCGACTAAAGTATATATATAGTTACTATACTTTAGCTGGTACTTTGGAACCAGCAATTTAAGTTTAGTGTGGGGACTTTTTTAATGGATGGAATAGTTAGGACATGCGGGCCAGATGATGTTGCACATCAAAGAAGAAGTTGTCGACATGCTAAGGCACCCTTTTCACTTAGCAGGGCTGGGTGTTTGATCCACTGGGAATCCACTGGGTTGTTCTGCTTCGATGTGACTGGTGTGAGCAGGACTTACTAGCAGCCAACATTTGTACATTTGGTGCTGCACTATTCCAAGAAATCGGCCACCAAAATGGCAGAGTAAGTTTTGTTGCTTGATAAGGCTCCACCCGGAGTTCAAGCCATGAATCAGAAACCATAATGGAGATGCAGCGCAAGTTGAATCGATATCATCCAGCTTTTGCATGTATTGCTCTTTTAGGAAGACATCCTGCGCCGCCTCAAAATGAATATATATATATATATAGGTGGATAGTGTGCTCCCCTTTGAAGGGCTACTGTAGTTACCTTGCTCCTGTCAGAGTCAGACTCGTTCAACTCATCACACCTAATTCAACAACAAGAAATAAACAGTGTGTTCTTTTTCTGTGGCGTTTTTTCAGCTTTATCGACATCTCTAGACTATCCGAACTGGTGATCTTCACCAGTGCCTTGCCGGACCCTCCCTGTGCTGGAAGGCCTGCGCTTGAGTGGAATGTCACCTTGGCGCCCAGCCGCCTGTTGCCGCTCCGGAGCGGACGTGGGCACTGTCGGGCCGCGGTGGCCGGCGGTGGCGTGGAAGAAGTGGGGCTACTGAAGTGGGAGGACTGGCTTCCTGGAAGAGGTGACAATAGGATGCACCCTGTTATTCGCGATAGGATGACAATGAGGTTGTTCAAGGGAGTGGGAGAAACATGAGAGAACTAAGACATATTGTTGTGGAAGGATTTGGAATCTGAATGGGTGAGCAAGATCCGGCCTACTGCAAACCCACAGTTCTGTGGCAATCTCCACCCTGCGACCCAGCTTCGACATTAATCTCTTCACCATTTTCACCCTTAAAAAGAGGTCGGTTGACTAAGTTGTTTGTCATCCGAAACTCCTGAGATCTCCTGAAACTCCAACAGCTCTGCTGTTGGGAAGACGCCATGGTGGGGCCAGCATGCGTAATTATATACCCGGCTTCACCTCACCTCAGATCGCTGAGGCTCCCTGGGTGCAGTCACCATCTCCCTCCAGCTGGGCGCGGCCGGCGTGGAGGATCTCTTCGAGATCCACCCGCCCAAGGCCCCAAAAAAGGAAAAAACACTGATTTTGCTGATCAGGTGATGTTTGTAAAGTTTTCTTTGGTGAAATATGTTTTAGTTTTAATGTTTTCCAGGTTCCTTAAGTACAGTAAATCCGTGAATCAAAAAAACACCTGAAACGCCAAGGCGAAAGGTTTCTGGGGTATTACGGCGATGGGGCGGAGGTTTTGCGTTTGGTGTTGGATTGGCAAGGGTTGGTCATGGGCGGTCTCAAGGGTCAGCAACCAATCTGATCCTGGGAGTAGTTGACCCACACAAAAGGAGGTCACTCCCAGATTCTTGATGAATAATCAAGTCATTTTAAGCTTCTATACTACACTCCCAACCAGAATTCCGCCCTCCACCAATCCGTTGTCTTGGACCAGACACCGACCTCCGCCTCACCGGCCGAGCGCCGCTCAGGGCATCACCGTTGCCTCTTGCGACGTGACGGAGGTCGCCCCCGCGGAAGAGGAAGGGATCGATGTGCAGATGACGAGCTGTGGAGACCCGGGGGCCTTGCGCTTGAGCTGGGAGACGGAGACGAGTGTTGCACTGAGTACGGCGACTTGGGCTGAAGGGAGAGAAGGATGACAGAAGGATGAGAGAAGGATGAGAAGGGGCATGCCGGGGGACCCCGAAGGGAGAAGCATGTCTTGACTGGACTGAGCTGAAGGGAGAGAAGTGAGTGGAAAGTGACTGAACTGGTTGAGGTCCCAATTTGAGGTCACTTTGACGGATTTGACTTAGGACTTAGGGCAGTCATGGAAAAATTGTTTGTCACGATTTGTTGCCAGAGTTCCTGAGTAGTACCTAGAGATGCAGGTTAGGAAAGGTTTGGACATGATTTGGAATGATCCCAGCCATGAACAGAATCATGTTCATCCTTTTCCTTCATCCTTCTGGGATGTCTTGAGTTTTTTCCTTCTCAAGATCCCACAAGCCGGAGGGAGCGGTGGCTCGGGTCGCCGTGGGCAGTCCTCCCAAACCATCCATGTAAGGAATACCTACATTTGCCCCGTTTATGACCCCAAACTAGTCCATCTATATGGATGGTCTGGGCATCCTTCCCCAAACACGGGAGCCAAGGAGCTAGAGGGAGTTCCCGAACCACTTGCTAGTAAGGGTTCAATATGCAGGGGCCGGATGGGATTTGGCCAGGCACAAGCTCCAGTTTCCAACAAACACGGTGCGACACCCTCAGGAACCGCCCTCCATCTCCAACGGACCGGAGAACGTGAGCGACACCACCACCCGCGCACCGCCCACCCAACCAGAGACGGTCGTCGGGGCCAACGAGAGTGGCGAGAGCGGCTCGGGCGGAACAGCACCGAGGGTGGAGGGCGGATGTGTCCGGATGGTTCCCTATCACCACTTGGCAAGACAGAGGGGATGGGATGAATTTTGGGGGTGACAGAAGGTGACAGAAGGCACGGAAGATGGATGGAAAGAGACAAACACGACAAATGGTAGACTGGTACAGTATAATGACACAAATCCTCATGACTCATGACATCTCATGACATTTGATGCACAAATGTTTCCACACGCATCTATGGAAATTCAGACGGGTTGCAGATCTCATGGGGTCTTGGCCAGTGTCATTGGTCTCCATTATCCATATTTATCGTGACCTATGCATGCACGTGAGTCACAGATACTGTATGAGAACAATATGAGACAAGAAGCCTTCATGCACGCTGGGAGGAGATGTGGTGGCTTCTGCGGCGGAACATTTTTCGAGCTCATGAATTGCTTGTAAAGAGCAAGCTCGAACACTACAATTGGTCCTGTCACCCATGAATATTCCGCACCCTCACATGCATGGGGTGTCCTGATAATCCCTTTGCTATGGAGGGTCCAAGGGTTCTGAGGCCTTTGAAAACGCCTTGGTCCAGCTTGCGAAGCTTGGGAAGTCGGACTCACAACAACATCGAACAACTATTATAGGATCAATGTGTGGCTGAAGATCATATGGAAAATGCAACGCATGAACATCGTCACTCACTCATCTCCAGAATCTGGGCCCTGGGCGTTTGGCTGCTCATCATGATCATCATGTCCCATGCACGTCATGTATGGTACCATGCGGTACCCATATATACCTACTTAGTTCGATCCCTAAAACCAACCCCAATATTTATCGAGGTATATTATAGAGTCCATACATGGCCTGTGAATGGGTCGCTGCTCAGGCCGCAACGAAAGTACTACAACGGAGGCACCCGAGTCGAACCTCGGCACGGCCAACAAATATATCAGACTTGGAGCCTTCTGGTGTGAGGGTCTTTGATGGGTTTGGAGGGTCATAGACTCATAGGCGGGAACATTATTGAGGGGTTGGACCAAGAGTGTGCGCAGGATTGTCTTCAAAGCTCCTTGACTTTTGCAGAAGGCCCGGTGAAGTTGCACTTATGAGCAGCACTGGGCTGGGCTACAGACATGGACCATCCCTTTTCGTGGAGGGCACCGCTCATAGAGGGGGCAGACCCGCACTGCGGGTGTCTAAGAATCAGAGCCTTCGGTGTTCCATGCTTCGGCCACGACCCACAACAACGGCCGCATCCGCGTCTTCGTCTTCATCACGGAACCGGTCTCTTCGTCTTTCACGGAACTCCACGGGCCTCCACGGGACTCCGGCCGAGCAGACCGTCTCCTTTTCATCGACTGAGTGGGTGGATCATCAGGAGTCCATCTTCATGTTCCATGTGTGTCCTGCGAACGGGGAAGGCGAAGTCCATGTATGACCAAAGGTCAGACCATGTATGCCACGGGGGTGCTTGAAAAGGGTTCAAGGCAACAAAGGTAGGCAACTGTATATAACCAAATTATAAGCATGGATGGCTTGGAGATATGACGAAGTAGGCAACCTCGACTTTTCGTCTTGGTTTGACCGCTCAGGCAAGTCAATTTCAGCAATGAAAGCGTGAACGAGAGCGCCACACTGCGCAGAATGTCCAGCTGCGGGGCGCAGTCGGATCTGAGCCAATGCTTTCAATGCCATTGCGGGGAAGAATGCACCTCGGGCGAAGCATGACACAACAGCCAAACTTTCAACTAGGTCGCTCCAGCTAGGCACTGGGCGCTTCCAGCTACATAACTGCCAATCCAACCTCATGAGGTTGGAATGGGAGGTATGATGAAGCTCCCGTCCCACTTGGTTGTTCAACGGAGCCTTTAAATCAACTGTTTGAGTGACCTGGGTCCAAATTTACGGAATTCAGATTTGACTTCCCCTAGTCTTCCAACATCATCTACCATTTGGTTGGTGATAGCATGTGATAGCTCAGTCAGTTCTCTTTGCGCCAACTCGACCCGTGCCCAGGCCGATTGACCTTCTCTGGCCTACAGGGAGCTGACATCAGTGACTTTCTCAACAGAGTATTGTATTCATTTCAGATGTTCATGTTTCTGATATGCATCTTATCTTTCTGATGAACCCAAGATGATGTGTTCTGATGTGTTCAATCGATATGATGTTGATGCGCGTGCATTGTTGCGTCCACCCGGTCGGGTCCGAGAAGTAGCGTCCATGCGTAGCATGCGTGGCATGCGTCGAACCGTCCATCACGGATGTATCGACTCAGGTTTTCATGTGGCGATCTACCAGATGGAAGAGAAGCCGGTGATCCTTTGGTCCGAGCCGTGGAGCATCACTCAGAAGCGTGCAGATCAAGTCATAGCCCCTCCTTCCAGATCTGGGGAAGGACTGGACTCATCTGGGTGGGTGGTTTTTTTTCCAGTTGTTCTCCAAACAGGTTCACCTGTGAGGGGTTCTTACTCCTTTGAGAGTGGTTCTTTTGTGATCATACTTAAACAGTATTCCGAGACGTGTTTGATTGCAGGCCACATACTTAAACATGTTCACATTCAACCATTAAATTATATTAAATTGGAGATGATCGAATTCCACTGACGAGCAGTCTTCAAGGGAGTTGAAACAACCGGTGCTGTGCTTCAGCTGGGTGGTCTCTCCAGTGGCTTCTCACGCGTTTTGCGTGAGAGAATCGGAATGACCAGCCGTTGGCGACCCCAATCTCAGTGAAGGAGCAAGACGACAACTTGCCCTCGCCCAACCCTTCATGTAGATTTGTTAATTAGGTAAGACCCAGCATGCGAAGACGTTTTTATAATCTAATTTTGTTTAATTAAGCACAACAGTTTGATTACATGAGCTGGAGACCATGCGTTACTCGGTCAATCGTGCTCCTTATGGGGACATGGCGCCAGTTGCTGGGAACGGACGGAGCAGGATGAACAGCGACATGCGACATGTAAAATTGATTACTCAAGACGAGGAGTAGCGAGGAGTAGCGCTGTTTTCGTCCTTTTATGGGAACCAGGGACCAGTGGGGGACCTAGAAATAAAACTAATTACAGACATGAACAGGCTGAAGTTGGGTGGGCTGGTTTGGAACCCTTCCAGGGCGGGTGCCCACGGTGTCCCATGGCAGATGCCCAGACTTCCCCCAGAACGTGCATTTTGTTCATTTTGATCGAGCCCTGCCACCTAAGTTGGAAAGACCAAGGAAGAAAGGATGAACAAGCTCCATGCAATCGTCCAAGTTCCACCAAACTTCCCCAGCTTTTGCCCAGCTTCATCTGATATCAGGTCATCTCAATGTCCGCTCAGTCTTACCATGCCCGGGCCACGGAATTCTCACTCGGAAGTGAGCCGTTGAAGGACGGTTCCCCGACATCCCAGGCTGCTGCCGTGGCCTGGCAGTGGCCCATCCGTCCCTCCCTGCGGGCGGCCTTCAGCCTTGGCACTGGCGCAGCTGGAGACACGCAGCTGGCGCTAGAGATCACGCCGCGCGTGGTGGGGGCGAATTTCACGTGGCTTCGCTTGGCCGCGTGGCGAGGAGGGCAAACAGTCTGGCGATGCTGAGCCCACGGACTGTTGGGATACAAAGGTTGTTCAATTTCTTGCGGGGATTGATCCTCATGACTTCTGAGAAAGTAGGTGGGAATGTCAGGTTTGATACGTACAATTACTCAAGAATTCAGTCCATGGCAGCCATTCATCATCTCACATCCACTCTTCACGGTTGGAGTTGAGAGGTATAAAAGGACCACTTATCAGACTGTGGAAGGCGTGTGACGATGTCATGTGCATATTCTAAGATCATCAAGATCAACCCTAGGCCCGTCTCCAAACCTGTCAGCCAAGGGACTTCAAGGGACGGAGCCAAACCATTTTCCCAAGTTTCTGGGATGCGACACTGCTCGACATCCAAGAAGGAGTTGGGTGATGAATGAAGAACCACATGGGGCCCCTGCAAAGTTCACATGTTCACATGCCCAGCTCTCAAGAAGATCGTTATATAGATGCTGGAGGATGGGGCCCAAAGAACCTCGCTTTGGCACGGACCTGAACCGTCCCTTTGGTCCCTAAGGGGTTTACTACGAAACTCCAAGAAGGCCTCCAGGTGAAGCCCTTCGAAGATCTGTGACAGGACAGGTCTGGTGAGTTTGGCGCGAGCCAAGTGTCCAAGCTCCACCAGCGTCAGGTGGCAGCTTGGCCACCTGGCTTCAACTTCGAGGGAGCTCACGTCCAAGGAGCCACCGGCGCCACAGTCTTGGAGGCACCCGGGAATGAAAAGCAGGTGACCTACACACTGTGGAAGCAACAAATTACCTTTCAGTTGCTCATCAGGTGAGCTTCAGGGTTCTCGGGAGCCTTTGCAGCTGTTCTGCAAGAGGCTGATGTTTGGGGTCTCAAGTTGTACTTGGTGCTTGAGCCAAGAGGGACACACTTTCAACCTGACCTCACTGCAATGACTCTTGGAATCTCCTTGAGACCAACCACGGGCTACAGATTTGTTGAGTCCAAAAGATGCCTTGGCGTTCGCTGAAACCCAGAGCGTGTAACTGTGCGGAGACTTCCGGTGCCTCCCTTGAGTTCGGAGCCGATCGATTGGTAGCGGTATGTGGCTGTCATGTAGAATCTTGGTGAAAAAAGGGGCCCCCCCAAGCTGGATTGAACTACCTCTTCACATGGGGACCAGTTCCGCATATAGAGAAACACACCCTCACCTTCAATGTAGACTCTTGATTCATAACCCCCCCAATTTGGATTCTAAACCTCTTCACACCGGGGGTCTTATTATGCCTACTTGTAAATCAAAGGAGTCTCCGTCTCCCGCCGGCCCTTCCTGAGGCTGGATCAGATCCCAGTGGGTCATGGTCACCAGATAGGCCTTGAAGAAAAGACACACGTTCTGAGTCAGAGCGGTGCCACAACTCCTTTGCAAAGAGCACTGTCCACTTGTGCAAGGATCGGATGATTGAAAGCCTTGCGCCGAAAACGGGTTTGAGAGTCGTTTTGAATAACCCGCAGACATAGTGAAGCCTGGTACAGACAGTAGCAGGTGTTTGTTGAGGTCTTAGCATGTTGATCCTCACCGGGGTAGTGGGGGCAAGCTCTCCGACAGGTGGTGCCATCATGCCATGCTCCCCCTGTCACCTTGTCCCTTCAAAATGCCACGGGGCCATCAAAGCGCGCGTCAAGAAGACCCCAGGCGTCAGGTCCTCGTCTTCTGCTGGCGCTCCCGCAGCGAGCCGCTGCACCGGGCCAAGCCCTGGACCTACAAGTGGGGCCCGTCCAACTGGGAGAGGGAGGCAGGACTGACGCGGATGACGCTGATGGCATGGCTGAGAACGATGTGAGGGGTATGTATATGGCCCCATGCTGGGGGAGTAAGCCTGATGGTTTGGGATGCTTGCCACAAGAAGATGATAGCAGTGATGATAGCCATTTGTATTGGTATCCATTTGTATGAATCGATGTTCTTTGGGGTTGCCATCGTTCGTTGGCCCAAAGCAAACCACTTGGGAGCTTTGAACTGGATACGTTTTAGAGATTCTTGACATTGAACACCGGCAATTCCAAGGTAAAGAGCCAATGGCTTGAAATTAGTGGAGTTGGGCAGGGGGTGAAGCTCAAAGCCAAAATGATTCAGCTGTTATGTTGCCCCCCATCTAGATATAAACAATGTGCAAAACATCATATGAAGTGACTGTCATTCGCCGTTTCTGCAATCTATCAGATCTTTATGGAGTGGCGGAAGGTTCTTTTCGATCTTTTCAGGTGGCCTCATCAGCACGGCCAAGGGTCGGGGGGGAGAGCGCGAGCCGTGCGGGTCTGACGCCAGGCTTCAGCCGCTTCCATGCGGCGACCCTGGCTTCCGAGTTTGTGCTCGAGGAGGTGTTGAACCTCACAGCCTTCCGGATCCCAGGCGTCTCTGTCGGCGGGGGTGTGGGACGGTTGGAGCGGCTCCACGTTTGAGGGTCCAAACCCACCGTTGGAATAGCCCATTGAGAAGATGCTTGGGTAGCGGTTTTCCATTTTACCTAAGGAAAAGGATCACCATTTGATAGTGGCATACTCTACGGGATAAAGCATCAAACACCGCGCGCACGACGTGTTCGTGCTGTCGATGTAGGCCATGTTTTCGTGGACAATGCCACCTTGGAACGCGTGGCTCCGAGTCGTTCTACGCTCCCACCACTGCCAGTGCGGCTACAAGAGGCTGGTTGGCTTTCGATGACACTTGGTCGAAATGGAATCAGCACGTGACGACGTGCGTGTTGAATTCTGGTGTCAGCCGGCCGGTTGGAGGTCAGCACAGCGTGTACCTTTGGTAAAAGCTTTTACCACTATTATTCCATATGGATCCACACACCTCCTGAGAAGGTGATTGGAGACTATTTTGTGTAGGCTTGGAAGGTCCAATTACCTTCTGAGAAGGTTAGTATGTGGATCCATGGGATCCGATGTGTCATTTTCAAGGCGATGTGGGATCACGTCTGTGGGAAGCTTTACACGTAACCTGTATCCTGATATCCCTAGGGATCCAGTCGTACCTTCTCAGGTAGGTGAAGAAGGAGACACTGTTATGTAGGTGCCAGGAGGGTCTAGTCGTACCTTCTGGGAAGGTACGTATGGTCCGACTGGATCCCTAGGGTATAATTCTATCTCACGCACATAGCCCGGAAGGCTCCATATGCCCCACCTTCGGTCGAGGCCAAAACTCTGGACCGACCTGAGATGGATCTCCGAGCTCTCCCTCCATGTGGGACCCAAGAGTGAGGCATTGAGGAGTATTGAGGAGTCTTCAGGTTTCTCAGAACCACCAGGTTCAGAACCACCCCTGGGTTTTTGCGGATCAGGTGCTTCTTTTCTTTGATTTCCCTATCCCAGACACTCCATGGGACTGCCATATATGCCGGGGTGGTTGACTGGTTGTCAATGGGGCGGCAGTCCGGACTGGCAGTCCCAGAGAGGTCGTGTCTGGGATAGGGAACATCGCTGGACTCGGAGCGCCCAGGACCTTCCGCCTGGCGCAGGCCGTCGGGCCCGGAACGCAGCTGCGCTTGGCCGCTTCCGATGCCTGGGAGCTTCGCGCCGTGGGCGAAGGACGGGATGCGGGAGCCGTGAGTGGATGGAGGGATGGGAGAACGAAGCCTGCAAGGTCTGCCAGGCTGCGACAGCTGGCTTTTTGCTGTTTATTATTTTTTGGCGGGGTGTGGCGACGGATGGTCTTTAGGGTGGCGAGGATGACAACAGCCGTTCTTTTTCTGAGGGGGGATTGGCCAGGTGGTCAGGGTGCAGAGGGGTACAGGGCCTTTTGGCTTATTTCGGGTTTCTGGGACCAGAATGGCGGAGTGCTGTGCGTTGCCCCATTCCCTTCGAAAGCCAACCGGATTGGAGGATCGGGGATGTCGCTCTATCGAGTGCAAGATGGGCAAGTGGCAGAGATCTTGAGGCCGCATGGTGTGATTTCATTTCTACTCATCGGGGGTTATGTCAGGATGTCAAGATATGTAATGCACCTGTGTACACATGTGTATATCTATTATATATATATATTTATTATAAGTATGTGTGAAGATTCATGCAGTAAAGACTCTGAACGCATCCGTTTTGAGGTTGGCTGACGTAGCGGCTGTGAGCACAATGCAGGTCACTTGGCCCATCCTGGCGTGCTGACGTTCGACTGGTGACCAACTCCTTGTGCACCCTTGAGCACGACACATAACAACATATTTCTCTTTTCCTACTTGCCATAAAAGCCTCGTTCTATCTCGCATTCCTAAGGCCTGACTTTACAGGGTTCTTACATTGTTCTAAGAAGGTGATTTGGGAATGTATGTTTGGGCGAGTATGTTTTTTTGGCTTCTGATGATGGCTTTTGGTTGCTCATGGTGACTGCTGGTGGGTGGTGTTTGTTGTTATTGTTTGCTTGTGTGCCTGTCACTGGCCACTACCCGCAATCTGCAAAATATCATCGGTTTCTTGTCTGCCACGAAATCTGACCTTATATAAGCGTTACATCCTGCACTGGCTTCATGTCCTGGAGGATGCCACCCCAAGAAAGGACCAAAATTGATCCACAAAGTACAATATATATATATAATATAATCCCGCTGATAGTGATGCCGCGAACGTTTCGGGCTGGCAACAACTCGCATTAGTTATAGAAACTCTTTCAGGTTTCGCAAAGTCTTCTCCAGAAGCCAGTGCCAATGCAGTGCCGTTTCAAACTCACATGTTTCCAATTTCACCGCTTGTTGAAGTGTGTCGTCGTGCTCGTTGTTGTGGTGGCGGCATGCGGTAGCGTAGGTCCAAGCTCGTGCACTCAATGTTGTCATGCAAAGCTGCATGTGACAGCTGTGAGAAGAGCTCTAGCTATGGCGATGTGTGGCTTGAAGCACATCGCTCTTGTTTCAGCCGCACCTGGGAAACCATTCCCTCAGAGCTCTGTGAGGGCATCACGTAGAAACATCATGTGGCCCCTCAAAGGATATAACTTCTCGAAGCACATCATCCACGTTGATCTCCAAGGTCACTGTCAATTCCTTCATTGATATGAATCAATTAACTATTGTATTGTGTTTGGGTTTCACCTTGTTGTTCAACCGCATAGAGGGCATCAAGCGACGTTTGAGCACAGCTGCACCACCACCACCACCACTACCAAATTTGTGCCAAAGAATGCGCATCAATCATGAGATCTTGTTGTTGTTGGTGTCCCATGAGTTAAAAACAACCTGAACTCGTAGTTTCCTTGCCGATTTGCATTGGTTTGGTTCTCCCACGCCCCAGAGTGGGAGCTTGAGGTCAAAGCGTTCAGTCACCGAAGTGGATCGAAAGTTGGGAACTGCGAACGACTGCGAACGAGTCAAGGGCTGGTTGCCTGGAACGAGGATCGCAGAGGGACCACGGCACCAACCCCGGGCGACCGTTCCGAAAGAGCCATCTCCGGCGACCGTTGCCTGCAGCGTAAGACATTGCCTTGCTTCCTTTCGTTTGAAGTGAACCCTCGGCCACAAAATGTCCGTGAAACCTTCGGTCCGCAACGCCGAAAGCTTGTGCCCAATGATTTCATGTATGCAAACCAGGGCAAGCCAGTGTGCATTTCTTCCTGCAATTGGGTTGGGAAAGTGCATGATGGACAGCTGGCTTACGTTGCGAGTATTTTACTCCAGCCAAGCCAGGCACCATACAACCATGCTTTCGTAGTTTTCTTGTGAATTTTCCCGTGTCAAAGTGCGCACCAAGCAAGTTTATGGTTTGGCCAAGGTCCCAGCTTTAAATTCTGAATCTATTGCTCGCAAGACACATAATTAAAATAGAAAACAGGCACCATGAGAGGCAATATGAAAGGACTCAATAACACAAACACATCTAAGATTATATAGACCTCGATGGACATTGGAAACTAAAAGATTTGATTCACTATGGGAATAAGGACGGCAATACAAGGGGAAGGGCAAGTGAAAAGAAAATGGAAGGAAAGAGGTTTCAGAATATTGGGCAAACACCAGACATGTTGTGCGCAAATGCCTTTTTCTCACCGCAGAGTTGCTGCGGAAATTGATGGTAATTGTTTGAACAAGCCTTCTGAATTTGTACAAGCGTTTGGACATACACCCAATCACAAACACATGGAATGTGTTGGTCCTATGTTGAATGATTGTGCCACTGCAACGCCATGTCAATCCGGAGTGGTCTCTCCACAATCCTGGATGCTTTCCATGATCTTGGCATCATTTACCAAAGTTCAGCTTTCCCGTAGTGTCTTTACACCTACTGTATACTTGTCATGCATGATACACACACTTCGAACTTGGGTTTTCAGTTAACGCAATTGTCTCGGTGAGAAGGAAGGTGATGGAACAGCAAGGCGAAAAGGTCCAAAGACTTGAATTGTTGAAAAAAGTTTCACTCGCGCGGCTAGCTGCAAAGCACAAGCGGCTGACTGTAACTCTCCGGTGGCTGAGGACTGCGGTGGGAAACCTGTTTGAGGGGAGAGTATCGTGATCAAACAACCATGGCATCAAACCACAGCAAGGAAGAGTGGAGTGGTATCACGGCGCAGGTACGTTTTCCTGATCGTCCAGTGTGGAGCTTCGTTGGCAGAGGCCACGACTGGAGATCCCTCTGCCCCCTGCTCTTGTAAGATAGAAAGAGTGGTGGTGGAAAACCCTTTGTCCAGGGTTGGACACACACAGGTCGCCGCATTCGGCGCATTTTTCAAAAACCGGTGGCAGGCGTGATAGTTATGCCCCTTTTGGACATATAGATTCACAAGTTCAGCCGCGGCAGCATCAGCGCTGGAGGGTGGAAATGTGTATTTTCGAATGGTGTGAAGTCGTGATTGGAGGCCTGATAGAGCCAAGCGCTGGCTCCCGGCAGTGGTGGAATCCCGGATTTTCCAGGGTTGAGAAGGTTGCATGTAGTTGATGGTGCGTTGTGGGAGGTCGATGTTGAAACCGAGGAGATGGAAATCCTCCACCGGTTCAAGTTCCACAGGGTCGCCAAAGAAATTGTGGTGGATAAGGGTTTGAATAGCCGGGTGCTGAAGGAAATGTTCGTTGTGGACAATGAAGCGGTTGTCGACATAGCGATAGTAAGTAAAGTGGAGGTCTGTGTGTTGAAGGAGGTTATTGTGGATCTGATGCCAGGAGTGCTCAATGAGAGTGATAGCAACGTTGCATAGGGCTGGAGAGAGCTGGGATCCAATCCCGGCTCCTCGGATTTGTTTGTAAGTGTTGTTGCAAGCCCGGAAAATGCATGTGTTGAGGGCGAAAGCCACGATGGTGGTGATGTCGGAAGTCTGGATGGTGCGTTGGGTAGGGTGTTTTCTGTGGTGTCTGCCAATGTGTGAGTGGTGGAAAGGGTTGCCGGTGGCCTGGACATCCACCGTCAGGGTGTGTGTGGATTGCTGTTGTTGCCAGTGGTGGACGAGGGAGTGAACCGCATCAATAAGTCTGTGCTGTGGAACTGAGTTGAAGAAACCGACCAGGTCATCGTTGGTGGCGTGTAGTGAGATGTCTGGTGGGGTTTGGGTGAGGTAGCTGTGAAAATGGTGCCAAAGCTGGGGAATGGACATTTGGCCGGGGTGCTGTGGGTAAAGGTGTTGGAGGATGATGTCAAGGGCACGGCTGGTAATGCGAAGTAGGTTGCCACTGAGGGATTGGAAGTAGGAGATAATTGTACGGCCTTTTTGCCAGTGCTTCTTCTCCTTGAGGTGGACAACGCCGTAAGGAATGTTGAAGTCCTTGCGGAAGCCCCACTTGTAGCGGGTGCGTAGGATGGAGGGGACTGTGGCGGCCAGGTGGTCGTGGATGTTGGCGGCAGTGATGTAGGGAAGTGGTTCGAAAAGTTCGGGGGATTGCCAGGTGTTCAAGGCTCCAGTGAAGTATTGTCGAGGGCAAAACAGCCGAAGTTGTTGGAGCTCATGATCGGCATGGTGGAGCAATGTGTGTTTGCCTAAATGTTCTTGCAGTTGACGAAGCAGGCGGGCCGTAAAACGGGGTTGCTGCTTGAGGTGTGTGTTATGAAGGCGCCATTGGTGCTCAAGGAAGGGTTGTAGATGCTGTACGAGGGATGGTGGAAGCCCTTGTAGTTTGAGCCATTTGGTGTAGGCCGTCTTGAAAATGAGGAAGTAGCGAGCTTTGCTTGGGTAATAGGTGCTGTTCATATTGGCGTTGAGAAAAATGCCGAGGTGTGGAGGGAGTTGGAGTTGGTCAAGTGTAAGGATGTAGTGGCCGTTGATGGTAGGGGTATCGGGATCCTGCAAGAGGGTGCGCAGGTGATCGCATGCACAGGGAAGGTCCGCTGGATCTGGTGGGGAGTGGAGGGTGTCTTCCCATGTGCGGTGGTTGTGCTGCTGGATGGTAGTACGAAGCCACTGTTGGCAGTGCTTGGTAAAGTCGTCATGGGCCAAGAAGGGCACTGTCAGTGGGATGTTTGGTTTTGGTGGCGTGAGGTTGCGGTAGATCAAGGCTTTGTTGAGGATGTGGAGGGCTCGGCTGCGGCCGGGTTCTTCCAGGTTTGCGGCCATGCGCCGGATTGCATAGACTTCGAGGTCCGTGTGGCGTCCGCTTCGTAGCTCTTTGGCTGCTTCAAAGGAGGCTGCGGTGTGTTTGGTAAGGTTGCGAAGAAGTTGGAGGGCGTGATGCTTAGTGGAGGTGTAGAGGTGTGGTTCTCGGAGGGTGTACTGGCGTTGTCGAAGGCGTCGGAAAAGTCGTTTGTGGGTGGCTAATCTGGAGTAGAAGTGGGCTCTGTGTTTTGCGAACTGCCATCCCTGAGCTTTGAGTTTGAGGTGGTGGGAAATGAAAGGCCAGTTGAGCGGAGGCATCCAGTTGGCGATGTAATGGTGCTCTTGGATCCAGGCTTGGTCGTATGTGTCATGGGAGGTAAGTTGAATAGTGGTGTAGTGGTGGATGTTGTTATGTGAATGCCAATAACGTAGGGAGAGTTCTGCAGAAATGGGAATGTTATTTTGGAGTTGTTTGAGTTTGGCGCGGCGATTATGCTCGCGGTGGGGGATGCCGATAGCTGTGGAGCCAACATAGAAGTGACCATGCTGATGGTAGCAGCGTTGGGGTTGGTCTGGATTGAAGTGGAGCTTGATGTAAACTGAGTTGGAGGAAAGGAAGTTGTGGTAGTGGTAG